GCAACCTCATGTTTCCTCTGCTGGACACAGGATTATAGAATCATTAATGTTAGAAAAAACCTCTAAGACCACCTAGTCCAGCTATCCACTTACCACCAATATTGCCCTCTAACCATGTCCCTCAATGCCAAATCTCCACAGTCCAAACACCTCTGGAAACAGTGACTCCACCACGTCCCTGAGCAGCCTGTGCCACTGCATCACCGCTCTTTCTAAGGAGAAATTTCTCCTGATATCAACCTGTTGGAATAGGGACTGGATTCCTCTGAGGGCACACTGGTACTTATCAACTGGTGGAGAAGCTATCAGCATTTCTTCCTCATCGTTCCCACAGGTGCAGCTCTGCCTGGTCCTGTAACCCAGGTGCTGTGCCTCCTTCTGCTTTATGCTACAAGAACTTTACAGGCAGCCACGGCTGCTTTTGAAAACTGGGACAAGTAACAAGGAGAAGGGATGCTCTGTCACCTATTTACCCTTACTAGAAAGAAATAGGCAGTGTGCATCTACAGACATGTGCAGAATATCACTCTGATGATGAGGGCAGGGGCTTGCTATCTAATTGTAGTGAGTGATTCATTCATCTGTACATCACACCTTTGCATATGTTTGACCATATGGGAATTTAGGGCTGGGTCTCATCCCAGATATTCTATTCAAGTAAAAGGTCCTTGAGACTTAAAGAAGCAGATCTAAATCATTAACAAGTTGTGAATTTCCTTAGTTTCAGTAGCAGTGCTAGTCCTAGCACAGTTGTAATCAAACCTGGGTTGGCTGCATATCTTCTGAATCAAATCCCAATGTGTTTTTTGGAACAGGCTGCCCAGGGAAGCGATGGAATCACTGTCCCTGGAGGTGCTCAAGAACCATGGAGATGTGGCACTGAGGGACACAGTTAAAGGGCCATATTGCTGGTAAGTGAACAGTTGGACTTGGTGATCTTAGAGGTCTTTTCCAACATTAATAATTCTATAATTCTATGATAGACCCAAATGGCAGCAAGAGGAAGCAAGCAATGAAAAGTCTAAACAGCCAATGTCTTTTCTGAATATTTAGTGAGACCATTACGCACACACTGACAGCCTCCCCTTAACACAGCAATTTTTATCAAGTGAGAAATGCTTTGAGTAAAAATAAAATTAAGTAAACTTATGTCATTTCAGTGACTGGAATCCATCCCAATTTCTGCAAATTCAAAGTAAAGAAATGTTACATGGCTTCGTTATGAATGCTTACATGAAATGTTGCTTGACAACATATCACACCATGACACAGCCGTAGCCCATAGTTTCATAGGATGAAAACTGGAAACTCTTTGAATACTCAAGATTTAGCTTTCTTAGTTCAAGATTCTTTAATATAAGTAATATAAAATGGAGTTATCACATCAGTTATCCTTCATTTCATTTCTAAAGCACTGCAGGAAACAAGCAGAAAACACAATGTGGAGACTACTGGACCTTATATCTAATGCCAAGAGGCAGAAGTGCTTTCCTTCCAATTAGGATTTCATCTGAATCAATAAAATATTAGCATAATATAAAAGATCCTCAAGAAAGAAAAAACATCAAAGAAGCCATAACAAACTAGAAGCTGACTACTGCTGCTCTTTCACATATAATCGTGTTTCAAAAAAGGATTTGCAGATTGAAAGCCATAAAAGACCACCAGACAGAATGAGTGAAACCGTGAAGAAACATGCTTGCATTTATACCCACCAGCTACGACCATTGCTACAGTCCCTCATACTCCTCTATACAATGTGAAATGGGAACCAATAGCAAGCCTTTCTGTACCTGAGAGAAGATTGCTTTATGACTGCTTATATCCTTGTAAGCTACATTACTGTGTCTCATCAATAGTAAATGTAATAAATGGATCCCATCCAGCATGTCAATTTTGAACTCTCCCAGATTTTTTACCCAGTGTCTGGGGGAAATCTTGCCATTTGTGGCCTCCTGTAGGGAAGAGTTTTCTTGTCCTGGGTGCTTCAAGCAGTAGTGTGAACTTTTGGGAACTCTCCACAGTCAGAGAGCCACGTTCCTGTAGTCTTAAAATAATCCCTTTCATGAGAACTTTAAAGGGCACAAACCAATGTGCAGTCTGCACCCCTTGGAGCCAAGTCTGAGTATGTGTCACCATGGGCTGGAGACATGAAGAAATATATCTTCCACTATTTGTGTTCTCAATTGAGAGTTTTACTGCACAAGAGAACATAAACCTGTCTGAAAAAACTGATGTTAAAGGGGAGATTCAAAACATCCAGCCCATCAGGACAACCAGAGCTACTGATAGAATCTTCATGGAATTATAAGTAATAAAATCCCTTAAATCTCTCCAAATGGTGGGCTGGAAAACTCATTAATTTGTACCCAAGGAAATAACTAGAAATAGGTTCTTTCATCAACACTGAATTCTCATCCAAAGGCAAGCTGACGTTTCTGCATTTCCTAGTGTTCCTACCCCTAGAAAAGGTCACCATGTCCTCCTTGGCACTGCAAATCTTTCCCTTCCTTGTGATGGCCTAGACCAAGCTTCTCTCACACTAGCCTTACATGGTGCAGTGGGAGAAAAATGACTTGAGTTCACAGCCTTTTGATTAATTGCTGTGACTTTTAATGAGTGCCAAAAGCTCAAATTTTGCAAGAGAAATAGCTGCCTAATATAACTGGCCTTAGGCCACCAACTTGTTTTCAAACAGCACTGCCTAGCCCTGGTCATTATCCAAATCCAAATCCCAGACAGAGGGAGGGGGGAGACTCTACATTTTTATATTCAGCCCTCATACCATCCAAGCACTGCTTCTGAGCCACAAAAGCATACCTACAAAGGGAACTAGACAGGGAAACAAGCTCATTAACCAAGACTTTGGGAAGGACAAAGCAAGAGTGGCCAGTCCAAATTTATTTCAAAAGGGCAAATGGACGCTGCTCTCAGGCTATCAAAGTCACAGTAAAACACTGCTATTCAACCTCCCTGTAGGCTTTACTGAGCTGAAGTGGAGAGCCAAGACACTGAGCACAGAGTCCTGGCCCCACAAAAGGGAAAGGCAACCTTATTGGTCATGGTGGCAATGGGTTGATGCTTGGACTAGATCACCTTAGTGGTCTTTTCCAACCTTAATGATTCTATGATTTTATGGTTTCTCCTCTAACTTCCAACGTCAGGGTCAAGACTCCAGCTGGATCTCTTGCTTTGTGCTCTGCCATAAGCTCAGCCACTTACACCACATCCATGGTGTCCCATGACCTCCTCCGCTTGCACAGGAGGAACACATTTCCAGCCCTCTGTGAGCTGCTTGGCCCAAAAGCCTTACAGAGAGCTCGAGGTTGCTGTCATGCCCCTCTCACACAAAGCAGAAAGCAGGAGGATGCTGAAGCCAGGACTGCAGGACGGGATAGCGCTCTTGATAAATACAATAAAAGCCACCCGGCAATCAGTAAACAGTGATATAATTAGCAAATGTTTTTCTATTTACTTCCTTTAATATGCAATAGGGGGAAATGAAATAAAATGTCAAGGACTTCATCAAACAGATGGTTCTGCACTTATTATTTTTCTCTGCCGCATTGTTTGCGTCAACTAAAGAAGAAACTCTTTTACGAAGTGTGACTCATGGATTCCTGGGAAGCTTCATTCTCAGCGGGGAGAGGACAGCAGGGGAGGAGAGGAAAGGGGAGGGAAGAGGACTCAGCTCATGAGCTTTTATTAGGAGCATTATTATGTCTCATTAATTAATCTGACCGCTGCTTTAGTGACGTCTCGGTCTCATTTCACAGGAAAAAATTACTCTGGATTGCCAAGTTAAATAGACAATTACAGGAAGATCAAATTATGCCTACATTGCATTCCCTCAGGGCACCAGGCCAAGTTCATGTCAAATCCATAATAACTAGACTACCCTCACTAAAAACAGCTCCTGTGGACATACGTCATGAACCATTTGTAATCTACACAGAGGATGTATTGATCTTCCTTGTGCTTCCTTTCTCATAAACTCATAATAGCAAAGACGGGATTTTTTAAGTATCTAACTCTCAGCTGCACATATGCAGAGCATAAGCTGTGTTAACTCCAATAAAGCGTAATTAAAGCATAACCATTAGCTGTTTAATTTCCTTTTCCTATCCCAACGGACAAGTGCCTAGAGAGCAGGAGGAGAAGCTTAGTACATTTCAGAGAAGGAATTAAAAAAAGAAAAAACTCAACACGTTACAAATGAAAATTTTCCCTGAAGAAACACAAATAGGTAAAATCGAGAGAGGTTTCTCTTGATCTGGTGTAAATAAAAACAGCTTTCAAGATCTGCTTTGTATACAGTTGGAAATCCATAAGAAAAGAAGGGCTGTGGACATACTGGTCTACAAGAAGTGCAACGCCCTTTAAAAACCGGTTGAATAGATGACACCAGCAAGACCTATGCCTTTCAATCCCACCATCATGTTTCATTCTGCCACCTGCAGCCCTGAGCTCTTGATCTATTCTTTCTCTATTCTCTTCACGTGCAGGTCTGTCTTTTTCTCCTTGTCTCTGTTCAAGGGCTCCCAGCCAGATGGGTCCCATTGTCCCCAGCCGCAGTGCATCCCCCCACCAGTCCTGGTGCCTCAGCGCTGTCTTTCAAACACAGTTTCCTTATTCAACCAACAAGTCCCGCTGCCTCATGAGAAACTGGAGTCCGTTCAGCTGGCACACCAGGAGCCTGGCATGTCCACCGTGGCACAAATGCGCACAGAACAGTGAGAACAACTTGACTGCACAGACAACATTCATATCGAGCCCCCAGGGAGCAGCCAGCTGAGTTCCAATGTCCCTGTTGGCCCAGGGTAAATTTTAGCATGAATTTGCACATCTGTCTAGTTGTTCTTGGCTGCTGGGGACAACATCCTTGCTACACGGTCCGCACAGGTCAAGGCAACTGCAGCAGAAAACACAACCAGTGTTTCAGAGCTGCTTTTCGAGCTAATGTGGGGATTCTGGAAGACGCTCTGTTGTCTCTTTCTTACCTTAATGCTGTGCAAGCAATGAGTGTTATTAAATCTCTGTTCCTTTCCCAGGCTGTAATGCTCTCTTGTTCTCTCTACTGCTCCAGCTGAGGATTTTTCATGATCCCAGCCAGCTTATTCAAGTGACAAAGCAGATCACTTTGCAAAGTGGCCATCAGCCAAAACAGTGACCTTTTTAACAGTGAGGTGAAATGGCAGTATTTTGATTATCACGGGGCTTTTGTTTTGGAAAGTTAGTTTTCCTTCTTTAACCACCAAGCAGCTTTTTACCTTAAGAGCTATTTCAAGAAGAAAAGTAGGAATATGATAAAAACTGTCTAAAGCTGGTGATGAGATACTCCATGTTTTTTCTCTGGCATTTAAAAAATGTTGCCAAACTTCTGTGACTACTTTTAATCCTTCCTTTTGAAAACTACTGCTGGATCTTCAAATAGAAACAGTGAGTGGTGTGAAAATGCCTAAGACACCTTATACATTATTGTGAGATGCATAAAACATTATTCCCTCTTCAATTTTAGAGAAAGAAAATTCATTAAAAGGGAAAATTACAATAAAAAAAAAGAAAATCCCAAATACAATCTTTGGGATGGAGAATCATCAGCAAAGGATTGTGCGCTGATAAGTTTTTCCTGTTCTGAAATAGCAGTAGGAAGAGGTGGAACCATCAGCTTCTTGTTTGTTTCTCAGCCATAGCTCTCAGTGTGGGCAACCAGAGCCTTGTTGCACTCCTTTCACTTTTGTCAGCTTTTGATAATTCCACATTGCTGAATTTTGTTCAGACTTCACCCATTCGGTGCTCACCTCCCTGCAAAATAACTGATGGACCCTCAGTGCAAAGGAGATTTTCTGACAGCAGGAGAAATTGAGCTGAGAAGGGAGACTGTATGTATCATGGGACCCTGCCTTCTGTCTGCTAAAGAAATATTATTTTATAATCATGATTTGAGAACCTCCCTTCTCTTGATACTAATATTCCCAAAAGAATAGAAGTTCACTTGATACAAGGCTCTCAAAGGGTAATCTTACAGTTGTGAAATCAGTAAAGTCTTTCTTTTCTACCAAAAATAAATCCACAGAAATGCAAATACATTATCTGCTAATGAGGGTAAGGAGAAGTGCAAGAAGCCTTCACTCTCTAGGCAGCAAAACTTGTCCTGCACAATGTCATGTGTCATAGCAGCACTCCTTTTCTGCAGCCAATAAATATCTCATCTTCTATCCCTCATTATTTACAATCCACTGCCCAGTGGAAAAGGTGTTTATAGAGAGGTTAGCTGCCAAGCCTCACAAGTCCACGGCATAATCTTCTGGTGCGTGTTTTCTCCAAAGAACCTACCCTCTCTTTATGATCCCCTGGCAATCAGATGTGCTGGGAAGAAGCTGTTTACTGGCAGAGGTGCAGCAGCCCCTCACCACCTCCGGCACTGTTTCACCCCTGTAAAAGTCACCATGTCACGTCTCATTTCCCAGAGCAGGAGATGTCATGCAGCATGATGAAGATGCTGGCTGGTGCATACTCCTCCAGCAGACCAGGAATAACAGCTGTCACCCGTGTTTTTACTGTACTTCTGTCTGCACCTGCTTGTTCTTTCTGCAAGTTCCTGTGTTTTTTTGCTTCCATATATTCAGACGTCCTGCAATGGCTTTGTTATCTCACACAGACTGATGTGGTCAAAGCATTTGCCCAATGGGCACGAGGAAAAGCGAAGAAGTAATGCCAACTAACAACATGCTTTCCAAAAGAGACGACATGCTTCTTTTGTGGCTTGCAACATATTCTACATACAGTATGTCTCAATGTTTTCTCTACTACAAGGGTGTAGCAGAAAGAACTACTCAGCTTCTGGCCCGTTGGAAAGACTCATGGTGGCATGCTTCAAGGGTGGTAGGGTGGAGTGTAACACATTTATTCTAAATGCTGTCAAATTAATCTTAGTGCTTAGGATAGGGGAGAATCATACTTCTAATAAGCCAAAAACAGGGCATCTACAAGACACATCAGGGACTGAGGATGAGATATAAGATTGGGCTTGTGTCGCTACTGCGTAGAGGACTTGTATTTTTATCTCTATTTATTTATTTATTTTCATATTTCAGTAGAGATCCAGATTTGAATGAAAGTCTCTCCTCAGAGAGGAGGAATTGCTAAGAAGTTAGAGGAGGAAAAAGTACCTTCTTTGTTTACTCAGTCTTTAAATATTTTATCACAATGGTAGTTTACGCACAGCCCAGTTAATGCATTCTCATTCACATCCCTTATCATGGACTAAGGGCACGTATTGTGCATGAGTCATAATTAGATTGTTAGTATAATACTAAAAGGAAAACAAACAGCCCATATCTCCCTGTCACACTAACAATAAGCTGACACATACTTAATCAAAATAGAGGATGCTGAATTAATTCAAAGAAGCTGATTTTCAAGAAGGACAATTGGAAATTCCTCTCCGAGCAGTTAGTCACTCAGGAGGAGTTCAGCCAAACATAAGATGAAATTTGTCACATTCATTCCAGAATTAGTCATTTCTCAGAACTTATTTCAGTTTGCTTTAACGCATTTCCAGACTTCACAGTGAAGCAGATGACGAATGAAAGATTGATGCAACTAAGTACTAAGACGCTCAGACACAAGAAAAAGATTCTGTGGGGAAATTTCTTTGCTCACACTTCTGACATCAAGCCAGGAGAACCTTCTCGTGCCCTGGCAAAGTTTGCACCAGTGGAAAAGTTTAGGAAAATGAGAGACCCAGTTAACCAGTTGCTGAGAAACAAAATGACGAATAGTACTATTTGTCAAAGATCCTCATTTCTGCAGCTGGCCCTTTGTTAAAGAACTATAGCAGTTACTGGAGCAGGAAAATGAAGCAATTGCTGGCCCTTCAGCAGCTCAGCATGGGACTGGCAGTTCTGCCCTGCTCTAGGTACTCCTGTGCCATCCACTGGAGGAATACCAGATGTTAGGGTGGACTCTACTGGCAACACTATCAGGTATAGGAACAGAGCCAGAAGCCTTGCCAAAGCTCAACAAAAAGCCATCCCAGCTCAACAAAAGCCAGCCTTATTTACCTCTATCAGCCAAATAAAGAAGAAAGATATTCCACTTACAAGGCAGGAAGAAAAGAAACACGGTGTGCTAGGTACCTGTGTTAGACCATCGTGACTACTTTTGTGCACTTGAACAAAAATACACCTTTCTCCTCTAGCTGCAATTTTTGGGTACCCACTGGATGGAGAAAAAGAAGCAGCTAAGGCACAAAGACATTATGTAGACGATATACAGGCATCTTATATTTAAATGTTGAAGTTCAGCATAAATACAGCAAGGAGTAAACATTCCTTTGCTTTATGTTCAATAATGCACCTTGTTTCCAAGGTTACACCTGTTAGTTACTTTCTTGCCCAGCAAGTAGTACTTCTGTTATACAGCATCATCTGTTATACAGAAAAATAAATTCCTAAAGAAATATATAGGAAAACTATAAATACTTGGAACTCTGACGGATATACTTTTGATTTATTATATTAATAATACTGGAGTTTTCTCCTACAGGTAACAGGAAAAAAAATAGATTTGTTTGACTAGAGTCACATTTCTCCTGATTTACGTGAGTAATAAAACTGTTATGAAATTCTTTTGGAAGAAATCATCACTGCACATGCTTAATGTTTGTCCCAAGTTTTTCTTCCTCTCAGACAGTCTGGCTGTTTCCTGCCAATTTGCTCATCAGAGCTCTGTTTATGTTTACAGAGCCACAGCTAAAAACCTGCATGGAGCAAGTCAGAAATGATCATCTCATCCATATAATATTCCTGTGCACAGATTTGACAAAGTCTTTGAGAAAAAAAAGTTCAAGATGATTAGTCATGTTAGTTTCATGTTCCTGAGCAGCAAATTACTCATTTTGTATCAGCAGAAGTAGGGGAAATAAAAAAACAAACAAAACAAAAACAAAACAAAAACAAAACAAAAACAAAACAAAACAAAAAACAAATACCCTGCAAATCATGTCTTAGATCTGACACTTCTGGAGTAGACAAAAAGAAATTACTCAATGGAAGAATCAAGCAATATCTATCCAAGATTGAATGCCAACATATTTCTGAAGACATGAAGACATGAAATGTGATGAGTAAGCAGTTTTATTCAGCACTGCTTGAAAAGACATTTTTACATGGCAGTTACAGATCATAAACATTTGTTGCTTGACTTCTTCATCCTACAGGGAAGGCTTCCTAGGGATGGCAGAAGGAGGCTATGTGAGCAGCTTTGTGAGAATTAATTTGTCAACGAAATGGCACGCTGACTTTTGGCTGGTAGTCTGGAGAATGACAGTGACTCTTAAATGCAGTTAATTACGCCCAGATAAGAAAGCTCTAAGATTTGATGAGCACTGGTTCATCTGGCTCTATGGCCATCTGCTGACAAAAGCAGGTGAGTCATGGTGTCCAGCAGCTACCTGGAAAAGCAAGATGTCCTCCTGCTTTGGTTCTTCACTCTAGAAATTCAGTTTTTTATGAAAGTAACATTTTATTCTCTCAAATGTTAAACCAAGAATAATGAAAAAAGAAAAAAAAAAAAACCAACACAAAACTAACTAGAATGAAAACCTTAAGATAAAACTGTTTTATGAAAGTCTGCTAATAATAAAAGAAAAGTGAATTCAAGCAAGTTTTAGCATTTAACCATTAGCACCAAATGTGACATAGCTGATGCTTTCCAACACTGATAGATGGAATCTCCTGGTCCTTTGTTACATGAGGAATAGAGTCCAACTTTCATACGTGGCAGAGAAATGAGAGAGACAGCTGCTGCATCCCAGCTATTCCATTCACAGCTTCTTCCCTGTACACTGTGCTCTCACTGCCTGGCTTGTCACTGTCTGCCACCACTGTCACTTGGGTCTGAGGATGGGCTGGCAGCAGGGATTCATTCCCTGCCTGCATGGCTGGTGCTTGCCTGCAGTTGAGCAGCCTTCTCACAAGTGAGACAAAATGCCCTGCAGCCTCAAGAAGATGCACTAGACACATGTAGACATCTGCACGGAGCAGCAAGTGGCCTACATGTCCTCAATTAAACCTACCCTTGGTTTTGT